TACCTAAAGCACTTGTCTGTGAAACACAGACAATTTGGGGACACTGAATTCACTCTCCTTTCAGGTGCCATGAAAACTGACACATCTCCCCCCCCCGATAAAACCCACATTGCAATTTTATCTTGCAGACTGCTATAGATCTGGATGTGGTAAAGCACTACTTTTCACCTAGCTGTGAGATAAACACAATCACAGACTTCCAAGGTCCCCTGGACACAGAAAAACATCCTATCTTCTCTCGCAGCAGGTACAGGAATATTTGCCGTACAGGCTGTTTATACCTGGAGACTTGCGTGTTGCAGGCCACTGCAAACAAAAAAAGATATTTTATTAAAGCAAAAATACTGTTGCCCCAAGCTTATGATTACAGTCTTGCCTGAAGTGTCTCATTCACTGGTCCAGAGAAGTAGTCAAACCTTCACGTTACAGTCTCTGCTTTCAGACACTCTTCCCCAGTGCTCAGAGTCTTTTGCTAGTTAAGATTGCAGAAGCATCAGCATTTGGTAGCAATTACGTACCTTTTTTCTCCTTCCTCTGCAACTGGCCATGAAGTGTTTTTACCACAGCTTCAGATGAGGCCATTTGTCTTCCTTTCTTTCTTTGGGGTAATTTAGTGAAGGGCACAGAAAAAACAGTTCAGAACAACTGCCTAAATGACCTCCCTGTGAGAACAGCATCATGAACCATACACATCCTCAGAGATACAAACCAGTGATCTGCCGCAGTGTAAATTTTCAAAGATGTTAATCTTAGACCTAGTAAGCACACAGCATCCTGCCCCTTAATGCTGAAAATCATAGTGTTTTGAATCTTGGATTAAAGTGATTGTGTATCTAAACAAAGCTCTGTTTAAATGGAAAAAAACCCCAAACCTTTATATAGAAAATCAGGTATATAAGCAAGCCTGTAACAGTTATTTACACAGACATGCATTTTGCTTCCAGCAATGCAAGTTTCTTCCAAACATGTACTTACGTATACTTCATTGTGTGCCTCAGAAAAACAGTAAGGTATTAATATGGCTGTTGAACTGCAGACTGGAGGGCATTTGACTTCAGGTAGCTGAGTTACGTTCAGAAATCAATATGCTACTGTCTTCTTTGGTGAAAATTTACTGGTGTTAAGGGCTTACTTCTGCCTACATTATTAACTGTTCAATCTAGAGCCAAATTATTTTAAACATTTACAGAGCACCCAGCAAAACAAGGCTTCAGTTCCAGTTGCAGCCTTTAAGTAGCATCATAGTTCATTCAACCTTAGCTTGATTCTATAGTACCAAGGAGTAAAATACTTTACAAACTGAGTAAGGATATCTGGTCTTTAAGCTACAGAAATAATAGGACAACAGTCTGTCTTGTCATCATACAGGTATTTTCCCCTCATAGATTTTTTTTTTAAAAATGCAGGAGAAGAACAGTGTGATTTGATTAGGCTTGCTCTTTTTTTGTCTCCATAATTTTGGACTGTAAAAGTTGTTATTAAACAAGCAATGAATACCAACCAAGGCAAGGCTGAATGATCAGGGAAGTGCCCTGGGTCATACACCCTTGCTTCTTACAGCTGAGTAGAACTACAACAGAGATGCAAAGAGAACCTCAAATTCAGCTCACTGCACATCTGCCCACATTTGTTCTCCTTCTGCTTTTATTCCTTTTCCACATGCCCAGTATTTTTATCTTAACTTTATCTGCTTAAGAAACTATCAGTCTTAGATTATCTTTTGATAGGCAATCTTGTTGCAGTCCTTACACACACATTTTTCAATCTTTTCTGCCTTCTTTTTCTAATATTGGTTTATTCTCTTCTCAAAATTCTTATCTCCAACTCCATCTCTGCTTACGGAACAATGAATTTTAATTTAGCTATTGCTTCTACAAAAAAAGTCTGTCTTTCTTTGGTTTAATTCATTTGATGTTGTGATTTTTTTTGTTAATAGTAAGAAATTCACTACCTCCATAAAGCAAGTCTTCTCTTTATTCACAGAACTGGAACAGCCCAAGAAAGAATGGATGAATTCTGCATGCTAGCCTGTCAATTGTCCTGAAACATTATATAGGCAGGTAAACAGGATTTATTCTTGGCATTTTTTTCATGACAATTTTTTACCACTATGTGACAATGGATTTTATGATGTTTCTGAGAAACTGAACTCAAAGCATAAATTGATTTCACTGAAAAAGACCAATAGATGGTGCCAGTACTATCAAATCCAAAGTATCAAAGAGCTCTATATCCTTATACAAATTGCCTGAGGTATTTAAATAAAGAGCTTGCTACTCCTTTTTCTATGCAAAGAGATTCTTGATTTTGAAAGCAGTTCATTTTTAATTAGCAACTGTAAATCTGATTTCAGATGCTGGGGGGGGGGGGAAAATTGGAAAAAACCCAGAAAAAACCCACACATTTTCAATCTCCTATTTCTCACAGCTGCTGGCCTAACATGGAAACAATTAGCAATTTTTTGCATTGGCATTGCCACTCCTTCCTTCCCATCTACCCATCTTTATCCCTGTGCCGACTCATGGAAATTCAAAGACTACATCCATATTGATAGGAGAAAGGAGGCTCCAGAGCATGGGGGTATTTCTGACTTTATCTGCTTTCATCCATGTGGCTAGCAGGCAATCTCTGCACCACGAGCAGTCTCGCATGGTCTCACTGGTGGCAGAGCAGTGACACGGTTGTGCAGGCAGCACACGGGGCCCCACATGCACTACAGGGCATGTTCCTGCTGGCCTGCAACATGCACTGTAAACAAACCCACCTCGAGAGCATGCGTGGGGATGCCTTTATACCCCCACAGACTGACTTGGCAGGTCACAATCCCTCACTGCTCTACGGGACTGTTCTTAGTCACCTGTGTAGAGTAGCTTTAAGACCCAGCTGTCTACTGAAGAGAGGTGCAAAACCAGAACAATCTGTCCTTTTCTACTCCTTCCTTACCTTTGCTTAGAGCAAGAAACACTGAAAAAATAGACCTTATTGTAAAAACCAGACTCTGAGCTCTGCTCAGACCACGTGAGTACAAGAACAGTTTAACTCCTCCAAGACAAACAAAACAATTACACTATAGCCCTTAGTATTGGGTTTTCTTTGTATTTATTTATTTAAAACTCTCTCTTCTAAAATTTGTTCATTTTATTCCTGCAACTCCTTAAAGTCAATGGTATGACTTGCATGGATGAAGCATGCAAAATTTTGTCCTTTCACCAAAGTCTGCATTCATGCTTTCATTTTTACTGATTCAGTTTTATATATTCCCCCCACCCCCTTTAAAGCAAAAGCACTTATAAGAACTCAAATAATCTTTTAAACACTCCTATTCTCACCTTGCTAGCACAAGTGCTATAAATGAGCACCTTAGCCGAGTGCATTCATGGATATATGGATCCTACTTTTGTTTTGAAATAATTCAAAATAGGATCTTACTTCAAGCTGTATACTAAGCTGATACTAACAAAGCTAACTCAGCTGCCTCCCTGGTAAGCCAGACCACTACATGTACTTTAAGAATATAAATAACACCAAAAGAAAACTATATTTCACAGTTTCATATTCATATAAAACATTATTCCCTGTATTATGTATTGTAATAATACATATTATATCACTATGTACTACGTAATAGTCTCCCCAGTGTACACACATACTAATCATCAAAATAACTGCAACTGTGATAGTTCTCCAATAAGCAAGTTCAATTACACTGAGTTCTACATTAAAAGCCTCTCAAAATGGACTCCCAGTTGAAGTTTTATGCAAAATTTAAATCAAAGAGTCTTTTATCTCACCAATAGCACCTTAGGATGAATTTTGGGTCTTGAGATGCTACTTTGGCTCATGGGTAATAAAAGACTTTGCAATGAAACCTACACAGTTGCTGGGACTAAGCCATCTCACAACCAGCTCTCTCTGCAAAACCCATAGTGGTGCAGTTGTGTCAGAGACAAGCTGTGTTCAACTATCACACAGTGGGCACCATGTTTAAACTCAAAATAATTATAAAGAGCATAAATAATACATTTTTTCATGCTATTACTATGTTGCTTTCAGCTACATCATGTAGCAGAAGTATGTTAGAGTGATTATTTTAGTAGTTTTACACCAACAGTAAAAAAAAAAAGGGGGCGGGGAACCAAATCAAAATTTGTAATTTATACAGTGATCAACGTCAGTGTATCTACATATTTCCTACGGAGTTCACAGATGAGGAGAACAGATGTAACATTTGCTGTTCCATGTCACCCCAGACTCGGTCCCACTTCCCATCCTTTGGTGTTGAGGAATCTTTCCTCTACATTGTCCTTGAGGTCTGCCTAATTTTACAAGAGGCTGTACTTTTTAGTAGCTTTTGCTAAATTAATTTTATGAACACCTGAATAGGAGAGAAATGTCTCAACCTTAACTTGTGGTAACGTTGTGTTTCAGAAAACTAGGTTGGTCAAACCAAGAATAGAGAGATTTTGTAGCTTCTCAAGGAGGACAAAGTAAAAGTGCATCATTTAATGCACACCTCTGTTTACCAGAAAATCAATAGAGTAGGAAAGAATGCCTAGCTGCTGCGTTTAGACACGTGCTGTTTCAGATATGGGTAAGCTGTTGTCACTCTAATTTTACAATGATTATCTGAAAGACAGAAGAATGAAATGTAAAGATTGGCAACAGCATCAAATAAAATATTACACTATACACAAACAGAAAGTTAAATCAAGAAACCCACAGAACTGTTAGATCTTCCTAAATCCTTTAGCACCCATGCTTAAACAGCAGAAAGCATTGCATAAACTGTGGTCAAAAATATTTGTTATCCTGGCTGTACAGTATTGCCAGAAAACACCTAAATAAAACCATTAACTCTGATGTTAAGTAGTCCAAATCATTTGGCTCCAGACAGGAACAGAAGCTCAGACTTGTTCCTTCCATAAGTGAGCAATACAGTGAGCACTATGCATTATGATTATTTTATAAAGACAAACATAACTTTAGATGGTATTCGCAAATTGATACAGAAGATAACTTTATCACAGTAAGTCAGGTACCCGTATATACATCATGCACATAAAATGGAAATGAAACATATGACAGATAAAAGAAGAAAATACAGAAAAATAATTACTGTTTTTCACATTTCCCAATCACTGTTGAAATACAGTATCACTACCAAGCTCAGGACAAACTTGACTCCCCAAGGTCAGACCTAATTATTGTCAGAAGCAAGGTCTCATTGCAACAAGAGACTGAAAAAGCTTGCTAAGAAAAGTAAGTTCTGAACCAAAGGGGTTATACTGTCTCATGCGTGTTCTGGCTCTCTGAAACAAAGTTATGTATCGCTGTGCCTCCAGTTTATTTTGTGAAATTCTAAAAGTCTTCTAAAGCAAAACAAACTCAAACACATCAGGTTCTAACTAATTTTTCCAAATGTTATTCTCATTCAGCTTCCTAGGATCAAAGAAGGTGCTCTCAAAGGTGTTACTTCTGGTTGGATACACATTTATTTCAGAGTCTGGTTGTTCGTATATATGTAATCACAGAAGATGAAACGCTGACCTAGACCATAGTTGTGCTAATATATACATATGTTTCTTCAAAAAAAAAAAAAAAAAAAAAGGGCAAACCTATACTTCACAAAGGTTCTGTCCCAGATCCTCAAGAAGTCAAAATTAGCATGGGGCTTTAACTGAATTCAACAATTCACTCTTTGTCATGCAGGCTGCACTTATGCTGCCTTCAACGTGACCATCTCAGAATATAATCAGCATACAGTTATTTTATCTGTTATTAACAGAAGAGAAGATTAGTTCCAGTAGCCAGGACACAAAGAAGCAAACAGTCAAAGTTGTGGTTTCTTTCTCAGCTCTACCACTGACCTTGAGGGTTACTGCAAGCCATTGCTTCTACGTGAACATCACTAGAAGATTTCAAAGTACTAGGAAAGTACCACAAGGCTACAGAGCACAAAATGTTTTCACTTCCCAAACAATCTTCATTGAAAACCAGATTTTTCCTCTGCTCCCATATCAATATGAAAGTTTAAGTTTTTCAGAGATACAGTTGTCCATAAGAACGATGCATTTATTCGTATTTCTCCGAGCAGCTCTTTCTTTTCTGCTACAGTTCTGTACTGAGGAACAGCCAAGGTGCTGGACAAGCATTGCTTGTTTTCTGTGTTAGTTACCACTGCGGATCACAGCCTCCAGCTTCAGAAGTGCCAGACCTCCTCCTTGTCCTGCAGCTGAGAAGGAGCATTAACATTTCCCTTCTCTGGGACTCTGAGTAGCAGTGACACTGCTCTTAAGTCTCCTTGGGAGGAGATGTCTCCATAAGGACATACTATGTTCAGATAATAACAGCTAGCAAATGAAGCGCCATAAAGTCAAAGAAAACTGAAACCATGGGCTTCCGTGCCAGAACTTCATCCAGTATGTGGACAAGCATACCGAAAACTGAGACTTTCACAGCCATCCTGCAAGCATGTGATTTATGTGATGACAAATATTATGCTTCCTATCATAACTAAACAGGCTTGACTTATTACCAACAGCTACACTAGAGCTAGGAGACTATCTACAATACACACACAAATAAATACCCATGAAGCTTCATTTTGAATTAAAAAAAAAAAATCAATTTCCTGCTGACATGTTCAGCATCCATCTACATTCTTGAAAAAAAAAAAAGCAAGCTGTACTTGAATTTATAAGTAATTCTTATTTATGAAAAAATCTTTCCCTTCCCACACGCTGTATGAAGGCAGACAATGGGAATGGCATTACATTAACACCACCAGTAGCAAACGTTGTGCTTATTATGTGTGTTCCCATAAGTGCAAGAGAAATGTGAAAGGGCAGCAATCAGTCATCTTATGCTTTTTGGATTTCTGAAGGCAAAAGTCAGGTCGTGAATGGCTACCACAAACACTTCTGCAATTTCTAGAAACGTGTGGGGAAACTCTTCAAACACATGAGTTGGGAGAGGACTTGTTTCATTGAGGAGAAGGAGCTATTTCTGATCAGGAGAAAATTAAACACAGCAGGTACAGATTTAAAATTTATTGTCCTGGTTTTGGCTGGGATAGAATTAATTTTCTTCCTAGTAGCTGGTACAGGGCTGTGTTTTGGATTTAGTATGAGCAACAACTAAAACATTGGTGTGTGTCCTGGTTTCAGCAGGGATAGAGTTAATTTCCTTCCTAGTAGCTGGTACAGTGCTGTGTTTTGGATTTAGGGTGAGAACAATGTTGATAACACATTGATGTTTTTAGTTATTGCTAGGTAGTGTTTATACTAGTCAAGGACTTTCCAACTTCCCATGCTCTACCGACTGAGAAGGCTGGAGGGACACAAGAAGCTGGGAGGGGGCACAGCCAGGACAGCTGACCCAAACTGGCCAAAGGGATATTCCATACCATGTGACATCATGCTCAGTATAAAAGCTGGGGGAAGAAGAAGGAAGGAGGAGATGTTTGGAGTGGTGCTGTTTGTTTTCCCAAGTAACTGCTACGCGTGAGGGAGCCCTGCTTTCCTGGAGATGGCTGAACACCTGCCTGCCCATGGGAAGTAGTGAATTAATTCCTT